CCCCACCCCCAAAAAAGGAATGAAGACAATGTAGCCAAAACTCACATCTTCCTTTACCACATTGCCAACTCCAATCCCTTCCTCCCTTATTCAGAGATAACCACTGTTTATGAATTTGATTTGTAAATTTATACATAAATTTATAGAATTCTGTAACTCATTTGAGTGTTTTAAATTTAAACATGTGGTATGTATCATTCTGAAGTTACTTTTTTCCACTGGGAGTTTTTGAGATCTGTTTCATTCCTTTTTTAATTACAGTGTATAGTTTTCCATTATATATTGTATTTCATTTCTTCTTTGCTTTGTTTGAGGTTGTTAGCATTTTTTTGCTATTATGCTTCAGTTTTTTTGTGTTGTATGACCAATTCTTTCAGACAGAATTGAGGGTAGTAGATTTTCTGAGTCCTGTGTGTCTGGAGAAGTCCTTTTGTTTTATTGGTTGGTTCATCTTTTAGTTTATAATCGTTTTTCCTCAACTTGGAATACATCATTTTATTTTTGGCATTCTGAAATTTTACCTGTTTGTGTCTAAGTATAGGATGTTTTCCGGTATTTTTCCATCTTTTCCAATATAGACACAAAATGGGTTATTTCTTTGAGCACCCCCACCCATTTTCTGGTGGAATTCCCATTAGATTTGTTGATGTTCTATCCAAACTATCTCCATACTTCCCCTGTCCACCTTTTTGCCTAGTGTTTTAGAACACCTTGGCTTGGTCTTTAAGCTCACTGAATTTTTCTTTAGCTTGACCAGTTCTCTAGGTTAGGCCTTCTTCCTAATTTTTGTTTTTTAAACAGCTTTATTGAGGTATAATTGACGTACAGTAAACTGCACATATTTATACAATTGAGTTTTGATGAATACTTAACCTATATACATACATATATAGTACTCATGAAATTGTCACTCTGATCAAAATAATCAAAACATCCATCGCCCCCTGAATTTCCTCTTTCCCTACTTCCTCAGGCAAAAACTGATTTGGTTTTTGACACTTTAAGTTAGTTTGTATTTTCTGAAAACTTAAATGCTTGGAATCATGTAGCGTGTACTCTTTGGAGTTGAGGGAGCTGAGTTCTTTAATTCAACGTGATTATGTTGAGAAATAGTTCATGTATAGTATTCTAGTGTATGGATATGCCAGGCATGTATTCATCTGTAGATGCGCTTTTGGGTTGTTCCTGTTTTTAGTAATTATAAGTAAAGCATTTATGAATATTCATATCCCTTTCCTTCCGAACATGTGCTTTCATTTTTCTTGGTTAAATATCGAGGAATGAATGGATTGGCTGGATACTATCATCGGTATATACTGCTGACTTTTCAAAAAATTGTCAAACTGTTTTCCAAAATGGGTCGTTGTTTTAGCGTTTGTTTTGGTACATTCCTACCAGCAGTGTATTAGAGTTTCAGTTGCTTCACTCCTGGGCCATCACTTGGCATATGATCAGTCTTTAAAATTCCTAGCATTCTTGTGAACATGTAGTGGTTTGATTTGCCCATCACTGATGACTAGTGATGTTGCGTACCTTTTCATGAGCTTTATTTTTTGTAATTTTTACATCTTTGAAGTTTCTGTTCAAAACTTTTGCTCATCTTAGAAATTTGTTGTAAGTGTTCTTTATGTATTCTAGATGCAAGTCCTTTATTGGTTACACGTTACACAAAAAATTTTCCCAGTCTTTGGTTTGCTTTTTGTTTTAGGTGTCTGGATTTTTTTTTAGTTTGATTTTTCTCCAGTTCAGCTTATCTACTAAGTTTTTTTATTTCAACCTTTAGAATAGGAACTCTGATTTTTAAAAACTACCCTTTCACCTTCTACTCTGTATTTCAGCTACAGTTAACACTTCTTCTTTGCTCTATATGCTGTTATAACCCATTTTTTTCAGGCGTTACTTTCTTTGTTGTGTTTGACACCTTATTTAATTAGTTTTTTCCTCAAATGTTTGATAATTATTGGTTCTGTCCACCTGCCACCTCTTCGCGTTTAGACTTTCCCATCACAGCATTCAGAAAAGAGGCATAGGCCGCCAAGAGCTGGTCTAAGTATGGAGACTCTCTGCTCCTTTAGGTTTTCAGCACCTCATCTGAGACCTTGCCCAGTTTTTCTTCCCAAGCACCCATGCTCCCTGCTCCCACTTCAAAACAGACGCTGTTGCTACTGTTAGTAGGTGCTGGGCACCAGAGGCGTATGTGTATTGGAGGTAGGGTCAGATTTACACGCATGTGTCTGCTCCTGCTGTGGAGTCATCTAGTATTTGACCCAGAGCTCTCTCCTGTTCTCCATCTTTGCTGAGCCAACTCGCTTATTTCTGGGAGTCCTCTGATGAAATCCCTTTCCTTCCTCTTTCTGCCAGAGACAATTAATTCTTTCTTTTTTTTCTAGTACTCGATGTCTGTAATTATTTATATGTCTGCTACTTGTGATAACCAGACTCTTGGAGAGAAGGAACAGGTATCTCATTCTATGTAGATTTTGATCACCTGGAGTAACACAGAATGCGTGAATGATATTTTTTCAGAGAATGGGTGTTTTGATTACAAAAGGTAACAGCTTGAGACTCGCAGGGAAAGCAGGACAGGTAAGGTACCACATGGAGAAGTACTGGTCTGGGCATTTCTCTTACTGGTAGGTTATTCTTAGGCAAGTTTTTTAATCTTGTTTAATATTTTTATAATACCATGATTTAAAAAAAATATAAATGTGTGTGTGCCTATATACACATACACTTTTTAATTATAGTAAATATTAATTAAGAAAATTCTTTCAATAAGAAACAACTGGTTTTTAAACAAATGATACTGGGACAACAGGGTTTCCATATGCAGAACAATGAACTTGAACCCCTTCCTCATACTGTATACAAAAATTAACACAAAATGGACTAAAGATCCAATCTTAAGAGCTAAAACTAAACATTCTTAGATGGAAACAGGTGCAATTCTTCATGACTTTGGATTAGGCAGTGGTGTCTTATATGACACCAAAAGCACAAGCAACTAAGGCCAAAAAAAAAAAATAGATAAATTGGACTTCACTTAGATTAAGAACTTTTCTGCTTTAAAGGACACTATCATGAAAATTAAGACAGCCCACAGGATGGGAGAAAATAATTGTACATCATATAGCTGATAAGAGGCGGTGTCAGTAAAAGAACTCTTAGAACTCAAAGGAAAAGACAAATAACCCAGTATAAAAATGGGCCAAGCATTTGGATGAGCCAATAAACTCGTGAAAAGATGCTCATCATTAGCCATTAGGGAAATGCAGATTAAACGCCACAGTAAGATAGCACTTCGCACCCAGTAGGATGGCTTTCTGAAGAATATAAGAGGTGTTGGTGAGGGTGTGGAGAAATTGGAATCCTGCTGGTGGGAATGTAGAATGTTGCTGCTGCTTTGGACAACAGTCCATCACTTAACCTAAAAGGCTACAGAGAGGTACCGTATGACCAAGCATTTCTACTCACAGTGAATTGAATGTGAATTGCACCTCAATAAAAACTTCCTTTAAAAAATTTTAATATACAAAGGATTTTAAACTTATACTTGTCCATATAATTGATTTTTAAAACATACCTGCCTCTGCTTTCATTTTTTTTTGAGGTGTAAACAGAATGCATTTTTATTTACCAAGGGGGAATAGTTTCTTACCAGAATTCTCTGAGGAGAGGCGCAGTCTTTCTAGTTTCTAGGTGACCTCAGGTAACTAGGAAGGTTGCAGAAGTAAGGAGTCAGATTACAGGGTCTCAGAGCATCTTGAGCTAGGTGTGTCCAGCCCAGTGAAGCATGAGGACTGCCCTTTGTCTAGATGTGTGCTGGTGTTGCGAAGAATTTGTATTGTCTTTGTCTCATGTTCCTGGTGAGAGCTTTGGTGGGGTGGGGAGCGACCCTTAGAAGTAATAGGAATATCTCATTTTGCTAATAAATACCTGGTGGGCCTATAGGTACCTTCCACAGGGGCCATTCCCCAGAAAGACCGATCATGTGATTAGAGGGTTGGGACTTGGAGCTAGCCTGACCAAGAGGTCAGGGAAGGGGCTGGAAATAAAGTCCATTGATTTAATCAGACAGACACACCTAAGCTCCAGTAAAAACTCTGAATGCTGAAGCTTAGAGGAGTGTCCAGGTTGGGGAACACATTGATGTGTTTGGAGGGTGTTGTGCTCACATTCCACCAAGAGAGGGTATAGAAGCTGCATTCCCTCCCAGACCTCACTTCACATGTATCCTCTGTAACAAAATTGTCATCCTAAATATAGTCTTTCCTGAGTTCTGAGTCATTCTAGTGAATTATCAAACCCCTGGGGGTAATGGGACCCTCCCAGATTGGTAGCCAGTTTGTCAGAAGTTTGGGTGTCATCTGAAGTGAGGGCATTCTTGTGGAGGACCAAGCCCTAGTGGGGTCTCTGCTACGCCAGGTGGTTGGTGCATGAACTAAATCGTCGGGTGCCCACTGAGGGTTGAAGCTGGGGGTTTGGACAGAATCCATTTCTCCTTCCCCTGGGTGATACAGCTTAAACCTTGGCCAGATTTCTTGCTGCTTAGTTTCTTTTATAGAGTCCACATGAATCAAATCTCATTTGCGAAAACATTTTTTGAGAATGTAAATACAATTGACTAGGTTAAGCATTAAACCTGGGGTTTAGCCTTAAAGCCTAGTTGCAGTATCAGTGCAGCAATGTTTCTAGTTTGTCGTTGATCCCCACTCCCCCCAACCCCCGGACAGTTTCATTTCTATGTCTTTAAATCTCTTATTTTCCTTTATAATGTGACTGCTCAGATAGGTATTGTTAGACCTTTTTTCTAGGTGGGAGTAGATTGGGGTACTTGCCCCAAGTCACACTGGGTTTGAGCCTAAGCCTGAGTCTTGCACAGCCCGTTAAGACCGCCCTGATGCGCGGCCTCCAGCGGTATCTTTCCTGTAGCTGACCCCTCCAAACTAGGGGGGGGAGAGGAAAAGCTGGTTAAGAATTGGGCTTCTTAAGGACCAGAAATGGAGAAAGGAGGAGGGTCAGTTCCTGCGTCAGGTAAGGGTGGAGTCTTTTGACAGTTGCTGTCCATTGTGTGCCCTTAGATGTCAGAGTGAACGTACAGAAGTAGCATTAGTTGTGCTGCGTTACTGTTAGGATGGCAGCGTGTTAATGTAGAATGCCAGTTACACTCAACTTTTTGCTATTTATTTTGAGTGAACATTTTTGGTTATGATTCTGTTGACCTCAGACTTTAAAATACTGACGTTTCATCAGAGTTTTAGTCCATGTTAGTTTCTTTAGTTGGTGAATGACTTAAAATGCTTGGGCTTTATGCTAGGGAACATTAGTAACATAACGAGCGCTATTACAGCTTCGTTTGTGTCCCGCTCACGTTAGCGAGCAGTGAGGCAGATGTGGCACACTGAACAGGTCCCGTCTGCACTACCCGCTGCTGAGCCAGGGCACCCCGGTTTCCTCCCGTCATCCTGTGAAGCCCATCAGCAGATCTGCATCTGTGTCACTGAATGCAGGTTTACCCTTGTATGAGGCCAGCCATTTACAACTTCTTAAAAATTTTCCAGTATTTTTTTCTTACTGGGGAAAAGGAGGTTAAGTTGATGAGTAATATTTCATATATGATATTATTAAGTGAGATTAATTTTAATTTTAATGTGTTTAATTGGGGTCTTGGCAGAAGGATGTTAGCAAGTAGGTAAATCTTTTCAATGGAAATCACTATTTACTAGTTTGTACACTCTACGTTCAAAACTGACTTTATAGCCACTTAGTGCGTGGAGGCAGGTTTGGGACATGGCTGTTAATTTGTGTATCTGTTTTGTGAATGTAACTCTTCATAGGAAGTTTTAACACTTTCTTCATTGTGTGATGGTTCTTTAGAAAGCATATTTGGATACAGCTTGTTCCTGTCTGCTATACATTCATTTGCTCTGTGACCGTTTTTATAAATTTCATTTATATTATTTTTCCTGGAAATTTAAAATCAAAGTTGAAAGTAATAAGAATATTTTGAGATGACCTAAAAACACTGCCAAATAATTTAACTTTTAGTACTTTTGTTTTAAACTTCTCCAGTTCAAAATCTCTTGCATTGGTTGATAAACTGCTGTGGCCTCAATCTGCCTGTTTTTGTAAGTGAGGTTTTATTGGAACACAGCCCCCACTCGTTACATTTATGTATTTGTCAGCCATGGTCTGCTGTATGGAGCATTTACCCATTGGTTCCTACAAATGTCCAGATCTGAACGAATCATTTTCCTCCTGTATCTCATTAAACCCGCCTTTGAGGTTTGCACGTATTTCATTCCCTCTGTAGTAAACTGATCACTTCTTTGAGGCTGGTCTTCCTTTGTTTTTCTGCAGCAGGACCCCTGCTGTGGCAGGGAAGTGATGCTGTCTGGAGGTGCCGTGCTGAGTGCCTTTCTTCCTTCTGTCCTTTTGCTCCCTATTTTGGCCTTCTGGTAATTGGGGCAGGGGGAGGATGGGAAGTGCTAGTCTAAATTAAATTGAAATTGCTTTAACTGTTACCTCTTTATTTAAAAAGAGGGGAGGCAGTTTCCTGGCCTGCAGTTAAGAAATTAAGTTATTTAGCTTTTGGCGCAATCTGTTTGGGGTCATGGGGTCTTCTGAGCATCAGAAGAATGTTGTAGAGCCACTCTGCAGAAGAAAAAGGGATATATTCAGAAATGTATCATTACAGAAATCTTAGAAGCTCTTAAGTTAGTCCTTGCTGGGGCTGGGGGGTGAGGGTGAAAAGGGAGTCCATAGGTTCCAGGTTAGGAACCCCTGCTCTAGCCCCTCTGCTAGGAAGCGAGTGAGGCAAACGAATATTAATGGCAGGTTGTTAAGACTGGAAAATAAAGCTGATCTCTGGGGAATTAAGTGTTCTTTACTATTGCTGTACCTGGGGATTTAACATTATTTGATCAGTGTTTAAATGTTCAACTATAAATGTGTGACTTTAACAGTGTATCCTGGTATAATCTAGATGGTGACCACTTGTGATGTTAGAACTTCAAATATAGACATTTGAGGAAAGTAATTCTAGATGTTCTCAAAATAAATCAGTGGCTTAGGATAGATCTTAGTGTTTCCAGATTGTGAAGGGAAAAAAAGTTAAGCCCTCGATGTTGAAACTTGCGTCTGCCAGCTCTTGCTTTGTGCTCAGCAGTGGAATTGCGAAGTCCCGTTGGGTCGGCGGCTTGTTTCTGGTCTTGTCCTCTCTTTATTTTTGCATGAGGCTTCCATTCAACCAGTGTTTCCTAAACTTTACTCATTGAATACCATCTTCATGATTTGCCTTCTCTGTACATTTCCTGGCTAGTCTTTAAACCAACTCACTTTTTAAAACCCAATTTATGCAGATAATTACTGTGTGAAATGTGGGGTTGATGTGCTAATTCTTTTGTTTGTTGCTTAAAAGGACATATACATATTGGGAGTTTTGTCCAACCTAAAATCATCTTTTACCTTTCTAGAGGACATAGCCCATTTTGGGAAACACATCCTTATATGCTGGAATTTTAAAGCTGTGACCTTGAATCAGAATGATCTGTGGAAACTGCTTGTACTCTCAAGCATCAGGAGAGGAGGGGGTCACCGGATGGGGGGGGGTGCTGCCTGCTGAAATACCCCTTGCTTGGACAAATTCATATCGGTTTGAATATGAAGATGCTTGGCTGTGTGCATGGCAGAGCTTGGAATCCTAGCCTTGCAATGGTTGGTTTGTTTTTTTAACCTGGCCCCCTCACCCGACACATGCAACGTGTACATCTCCAAATTTTATGACTTTCATTTTCTTTTACAGGTTTGATCTTGCTCTTCTACCTAGTCTTTTATGGGTTCCTGGCTGCACTCTTTTCATTCACAATGTGGGTTATGCTTCAGACTCTGAATGATGAGGTTCCAAAATACCGTGACCAGATTCCTAGTCCAGGTAATCATGTTGTGATTATTGTGGCTTTTAACAAAATTAGATTATACTTTATCTTTTCCATATGTCTATTATATAGCAGATAAAAGATGTTAAACTATAAGATTAGATAATGTTGAAAGTTTTGGTTTTGTTTAATATTTGCATACTGATATAAAGAGCTTTCATATTTACACACTGTTGTAAAGACCTTTAATATTTACATACTAATACAAAAACACGGCTGATAAGTCTTGACTTCTTTGCCAGGTAAGCAGAAATGAATATTGAGAATTAAAGTGAAGCCAGATTGACAAATATAGTTATGAGTGGCATTTATGAATATTGTGTAGCAGATTACTTTGGATGATCAGAAAGTTACTACTGATTTTGCAGTAGGTAGAGTGGTAAGTAGTAATTTACTTATAAAGTATATATTTCAGCTCTAGCTTGGGTTAGAGCATTGATCTTATAAAATACACATGCTTCATGATTTTAATTGCTTAGTATGGAAATGATAAGAAGTATTAAATAGTGATGTATCAATAGAGAATAAAATGAGTATCCTCAGTATTTTAATTATTCTCTTTTGATTGTAGTAAGAGAAAAAAAACCCTCCAGGATACTGGAGAATATACTTTAGTACAGAAAAAATCTTAACTGAAACACTTGTTTAAATCACATTCTCTCCCTCCTGGTTTTATTCTTTGAATGCCAGCTTTGCCTTCGTTGTTGGACACAGCTCTTATCCTCGAGGGGCTGGCAAGTTTTATGGAAGTAAGATAACAATAATGTGCAAAACACCTGTGTATCTGATTCTGAAAAACGTGAACAGCTTGCAGAGATGATAGCGAACGGAAGGCTCTTGTGGAGGAGTGGGATTTGGCAGGGTGGTTGTGCAGCCAGGGAAGGTGGGTGTCCTCAGGGGGCTCCTGTGTGGACCAGTGGTTCTCAAACAGCTGTAATTTGCCCCTAAGGGCCTTCAGCAGCATTTGGAGGCGTCTTTGATTGTCACAACTGTAGAGGTGCTACTGAGTAGAGGCCAGGGGTGTTGCTAAACATGCCTACCGTGCCCAGGACAACCCCCATCCCAGCCAAGAGTCATCCACTCCAAAGTGTCCTGAGGGCCACGCCTAAGAAACCCTGATCTAGAGCCTTGCTCACTGCACGGACTTCTCAGCCACATTAGCAGCCCAACTGCACCAGTTTCCCCAACCCATGTTCTTAGAGCAGTTTGTTCTCACGGCTTTTCCTTTGTTTGCAGCTAGTATTTATCTAAATATGAATAACTCCTTCAGTCTACTTGACCATGTATCAGAGACTAGCTCCATGCTAATATTTCCCTCGTTTCATTGGAGTCCTGTTCTCTTTCTACCTAGACGAATTCTAAGATAATTATTCCTCTTGCTGCCTAAGTTATGTAGACTATATTACCATTGAATATAATCTGATCTATTTCAGAAATATTAAACTGTTTCTAATTGCATGAATGATAAAGCAGTAAAATGTGTTCAGTGTACTTTTAAGTGTATAGTTTTAAACTGAGTTCCTTAAAATTATTCACCAAGTATATTGTAGTACTTAAAAACTTATCATAAGGGGGAAGGGTACAGCTCAGTAGCAGGGGACGTGCCTAGCATGCGCAAGGTCCTGGGTTCAATCCTCAGTACCTCCATCAATAAAATAAATAAGTAAACCTGATGAGCCCTCTCCCTCCAAAAATCGAACAAAAACAAAAACCTTACTAGTTTAAATAAATATAGATGCACACACATTCATATTATATATTAGATGAATATACACTAGTTTGTCAAACATGATTTTCTCTTCATAAAGGGATTATGGGTAATTTAAAATTTTCTTTCTACTTCTATTTTCTAAGCTTTTCTTTTCTTTTTGAAACAATGGCCATATTAGTTTTATTTTTAAGTGGCATTATTTCAATAATGTGTTTGTGCCCAGTAAAATAAATGCTAGTTTGAAATTGGCATGCATATTAACATATACATACATATCACATAAATATGCTGTCCGCCCCGCCCCTGTGGACACACACATACACATGCACACGCACGCTGTGAAGAGGTAAGAGTTATTGCAGTCTTCACATTCGGTTATGTTCATGATTTTGGGTAAGCCAAGACTTTATTTGGAGGAATGAAGTGTATTGTGTCAAAAATGCCGCTGTACTGCACACTCCTGCTGTGGTTTTTTACTTAAGAGTTTCATGCAGACTGTTAAATACCAGGAACTAAGGCTCCAAGAGCATTGCTAGCTCGGCAAGGTCTAAGAAGTGCCTTGTATCAGAAACTCAGTTTTAGACATTCAGATCTACAGAGGTTTTTGTAAATTGAGTCATTTAAAAATTCCCATGGAAATTTATCCCTTAAGGAATGTAATCTTCATTTATAGAACATAGATAATTTTATATTTTTCTTTAAAAATTTCTTTAGTTTACGTCTGGATGTTTTATAAAAAGTTGGATTTTCTTAAAGTTAGATGTCTTTGTACAGTTGTGTTAGCTGGGTTGATTCTGTTACTTTTTTACTTACAGTATATTGTGTCTTGTTTCTGCTATAAAACCGTAACAATGAAAACAGTTTCAGACATGAACAGATGGTTGCTCCATATACTGGATGGTCAAGTTTTATTCCTACATTGAGCATTTTTTAAAAAAATTAGAAAGTTACCAGTGATTTTGCAGTAGGTAGAGTGGTAAGGAAAAATAGCCATATGGGATCATCCAAACCAAGTGATGTGGCATGTAGAAGTGGTGGACTGGGGAATTTAATTGGAGCTCCTCTGTGCTGCATGTAGAGTAAATAAGATTTGCTCTGCCATTGTTGGGTAGCACCCGACCTAGTTTAACTCAAGAGCCATGCAGATAACACAGGCAAGTATTTAGGATCTGAAAGAATCTGGATCTCACTGAAAATGAATTAGAGGTCTGTGACCAGCAATTTTAATGAAAACTAAACCAACACTTGTTATTTATTTTTAAAGTCAATGCAAGGGTGATCTCTGTAATAACTTTGATACATGGAAAATGTTGAAGCTAGGGAAAATTTTAGGATTTTTTTTTCAGACATAACCTAAAAATGTGTGTTAGAAAAATGAATGTACAAAATAAAATTTGCATCTTTTAAAGTACGAAACAGGGCAGTTCCAATTAACTAGATAATCAGATTGAGAGGAGGTTTCTAACTGGTAACATGTGAGGTGATTTTGAAGATTTGGCATTCTTCATTTTAGATGTCTGTAGTTCATAAGTCAGAAGTTGGAAGTTCACAGTAATTTCAACCTACTTGTGAACACAATTTTCACATAATTTACTGAGATCGTCCCTTTTAGAGGTAAGAGTAAGGAGAAAGGATGAAAGGAACTTGCTACAGTTAATTTACCCCCCTTTTCTTTTATCTCTTTATAGGACTTATGGTTTTTCCAAAACCAGTGACTGCTTTGGATTATTCATTCAGCAGGTCTGATCCACAGTCGTATAAAGGGTACATTGATGACCTTAAGAAGTTTCTAAAGCGTAAGTATGTTTTCTTAGAGTAAGGTGAAAGATTTTAGTTATTACAGAAACCAGTACCAACTTATGATTACTTCTTAGAAACATTATTCTTAAGAGTCCATTTTATCTTTTCTCTCTCTCTCTTTCTGTTAAAACACAGTCAGCCAAGGACTTGGCAAGTAGGAATTATGATTAGTCATGAGAATATTCTAACTTACGGAAAGCACAGGGGCCTAAACCTAACGGGCAATTGATTTGATGTTTTTCCTGTAATAATTACATCAGTAAGCTCATTGAGACATAACATTTATATCTGCATTGAAATGAAAAGTACTTGACTAATAGAGCAAAACTATATTATAAAATAATGCCTCTAAGTATTTGGGTCTTTAGATCCAATTTAGTGTTTATGGTGGTGGGTGCAAAGAATGGTGGTTATCATTTTTAAAAAAAAGTCTTTATCAGTTGTGAGTTTTTTGGAGTTAACTGGCTTATAATAGCCATCCTGGCCCAGTTTTCCCTTCTGTTTTGCTTGGCTTAACTCCGTGGTATTAACATTCACACAAATAATCATCAGTGTCCTGACCTCTTGGTTCTTGATCGCCTCAGCTCTTCCTCAGCCACCCTCACCTGCAGTTGCCCTGAGAACACGTGGGACTCCATTGCCAAGATCGCTGATGGGGCTACCCCAAGATGACCTTCTCCTTTCCTTGTTTCACTTGCCCTCACTATTCTTCTACCTCATTGGGACTTCCTGTTCACTGACCCTTTTGTTTTATCCCAGCCCCCTGACTCACCCCCAGCTTCCCTTCTTGTCAAGCTTATCAGTCCCATAGTTTTTCATTTCTTTTTTTTTTTTTTTAGAGAGGGATGGTAATTAGGTCTACTTATTTATTTTTTATAGGAGATACTGGGGATTGAACTCAGGACCTCATGCATGCTAAGCATGCACTCTGCCACCTGAGCTATAACCCCCCCTCCATTTCATTTTTAATTTTGCCAGTACTCTAAAACCCCTTGCCTCCCAGTCCCTTTGTCATAAACTTGCAAATGGATGGGGCCATATGATGCTCTTACTTGAAACCATTTAATTCCTGGATGGAGCTCTTCCTTTGCACCTGACCTGGAGGACTGATTAGCATTGTGAGTACTTGATCACCTCCCTCAAATGGACCTGATCCACTCCCTGGCAAACCCTGGATTTCCCTGGATAATTCTTTGAAGGGATTATTGCCAACCTCTACTCAAGCCTATAGCTCCTTTTCCCCCTTAACTCACTTTCTTCACGTAACCTGGTTTCCTACTTCAAGAGCAAACAGAAACACTTGGTGGAAACTCCCTCTGTTTTCTCACTACCAGTGAAACACACCTTCAGTTGCAGCCATTGTCTGACATCCTCCTGCTCTGACCAGAGGAGCTACCCTTATCTCACCTGAGGCCCCCTGTCCCTGTCATCCTTTGCATCTCATCCCCTCTCACTGTCTCAGGAATATTTTCTGATTGCAGGTCCTTCTCACATATGTTTAGCATCATGCCTTTATAGGATCCTTTCTGTCAACATGCAGACATCCTCAACTGTCTCCTATCTCAAGTCAAACACTTCTTGACCCCACATCTTCTACTGGCTACCTTCCTGAAGCTCTTTCCCACTTACTATTTGAATAACTCATAGATGTTTTTGTGAGAGTATAATCCATGGTTTAAAAACCAGATAGTAAAGAAAGGTCTATGGTAAAAACAGTAGTTCCCTGCCCTACTCCTTGCTAGCTGCAGTCCTGTTAATAATTTATTCAACAAATATATTTTGAGGGCCTTTTTTGTGTCATGCACTCTTCTAATTTCTATCCATGAACAAATGAGAAATTTCATGGAATTTTTATAATCCAGTGGTGTATTAGAATGTAGTTAGTGCTGTGGAGGAAAGTAATACAGAGAAGGGTGGTAGGAAGAGTTCAGAGGGTTGCAGTTTTAAGCAGGGTGGTTTGGGAAGGCCTCATTGAAAGGGAATGTTGAGGAAGGACCTGAAGAGGAAGGAACTAGCCATGAAACTGTCCAGCAGCAGGTGCCAAGGCCCTGAGGCTTACCATGTCCAGTGTGTTCAAGGTTCATCAAGGAAGCCAGAGGGGCTGGGTGGAGTAAGTGGGGAGAGAATAGTAGGGGACTGAGGTCAGGGAGTTAAAGGAGGACCAATTTTGCAGGACTTAGAGGCCTTTGTTGAGTTCTTTGACTTTCATAGTGACCAAGATGGAGGTTCTTAAGCAGAGAGTAACATCATCTCACTCAAAAATTTGTAAAGGATCACTTAGGCTGCTTTTTGAGACTTGACTGTAGGGGGAACCAGGGGAGCTAGTTTGGAGGGTGTTAGAGTCCAGATGAGTGGAGGTAGTGTCTTGGCAAGGTCGGGAGCAGTGGAGGCTGTGAGAAATTGTGTGATTCTGGATGCATTTCCAGTAGGAAATACCTTCATGTTTTTTACCTTTTTCTTACTGTATTTTTCTTCTATGTCTTTATTATATTTTTCTGATGGTTCTTGATTTATCACTTTTATGCATTGTCTTTACTTCCTGCCATGTTAGAAGAGAACTTAGCTCACATGACTCAGACCTTTCCCTAGTGTCAGTTTGAAGGTAATTGAGTTACTATTTTTAGTCTCATTTTTGGTTGCCTTGTTGTATTTTGTCTTTGCGACCTGTTCTATCATCTGTAGAGACTGTCCTCTGACTCCTTTATTTGTACCCTTGGTTACTTTTGGATTGGATTCACCTGTTTCTTGGCTCCTGCCTTTTTTTCTGAATTTACTCCCTAGTTTTGATGGCATATTCTCAAGTAACTTTATAAGAAAAAGATATATGAATAATATTCCGTTATATATATTATTACTACTATAGTATTTGCAGAATGAAGTCTTGCTGTCTGTGACAACTTGGATGGATCTTGAGGGCCTGATGCTAAGTGACGTGATGCTAAGACAGACAAAGACATGATCTCACTTATATGTGGAATATAAGAAACAAAGCAAAACAAAACAAAAACCAAGCTCACAGAACAGATTGGTGGTTGACAGGGGCAGGGGTTGGGCGTTGTACGAAATGATGAAGGGGAGTCAAAAGGTACAAACTTCCAATTATAAAATCTAACGTGCAGCATGGTGGCTGTGGTTAGTAATACTGGATTGCATATTTGAAATTTGCTAAGAGAGCAGGTCTTAAAAGTCTTCATCACAAGGAAAACATTTTGTAGCTTTATATGGGGACAGCTGTTAACAGACTTATAGTAATCATTTCACAATGTATACAAATGTTCAGTCATTCATTGTGTTGTACACCTGAAATGAATATAATGTTACATGTAGGTTATATCACAGTTTAAAAAAATTGAAGTTAAACAGATACATGAAATGTAAATTTTTAGTCCTTTTATTTCTGAATGTGACCTAATTCTGTTTTTATTGTTCATAGTTTAGCTATGAAGTTGACTAGGACTTTAGTTCCTTTGTGTTTGCCTTTTTCTTCTCTGCAAAATTGGTTTTTTGTCTGTTTTTTAAATATTCTAAAATTTTAGCGTTCTAAAAGTTCTGTATACTGGTGTCAGTTTCTAAAACATCACTTTGCTGGAAACTTGTTGAGATCTTTCAGGATGAAGACTTGGGTTCTCTAGTTGAGGAAAATTATCTTCTATTATTACTTGAAAATTCCCTCACCTCAGCTTTCTGATTCTCTTGCTGGAACTATTCATTAGTCATTGGATATTGGATCTCTTGTTTTTCTCTTATTTTCTGTTTTTACTTTATTATGATGATGATTTACTTAATTACTTAATTTAATGTTTGAACCCCTACTCCCTCTTTTTCGAAACTTTCAGTTGTCATTGTTCTTAGAAATGCCTTTCTCATGTTTAAAAGATACAGTCTCTTGTTAAGAGATACATTATTTTCTCTTTTTCCTTTTTCCTCTAGATACTAAGTACAATTTCAAGTTTTATTTTGTTTAGTTTATCTCTTTCAGATCTTCCCTACCCTCCCCCGCACCTTTTTTTTCCTCTTCTTTTTTTTTTTTTTTTTTTTTTTTGATGGAGGGAATTAGGTTGGTTGGTTTGTTTGTTTTATAATGAAAGGACTGGGGATTGAACCCAGGACCTCTTGCTTGCTAGGCACATGCTCTACCACTGAGCTGTTGTTCCCTTCCCCTTCCACCTTTCTTTCTCTTATGTTAGGCTTTCCTCAGGAGTATGGGGCTCTTTGATTACACTCTCTGGGTCAGTGGTCTTTCCATTCCCATTGTGCCCTGGATGAGTGGTCTTCATTCTGACCACTCGTCATCCAACTCTTGTAATTAGAGCAGTTTTGTGTAGAAGTGAAAGTTGACATCATAGAAAAATGGTCCCTGATGAACTGGCCTCTAGCAGCAGGGGATATGCGGGAAAAGCCCTTGGGGGAAACTGGTGTAGGCCTTGAGTGTTTCCTGCAAAATGACCTTATGGTTGTGCCACGAAAGTCAAAAGGAAGTGATGAATTTCATAAGGTGCTATTCTGTTGTGAAAGTTTCCCCCATCCCCCCATCCCAATACCTGAGTCACTCTTGGCTTTCACAGGGGTACATAGTCCCCATGATATTCTAATTTTTGATAAATTTAAGATGAAACCAAAAATTTTGACAAAGTTTTCCCAAGGGAAGGATCCACACTTCCTTTTAAATGCATTTACTTTTGGTTCCTGTTTGGGTTGAATTCATTTTAGGTGGCCTCTTCCTGGTTTCAGTTACACCCACACATCCACAGTTCTTACTGAGACATTGTGGCACCCTGTCTTACCTGTTTATTAGTGAGTGTCTTTCAGTAGCCCAAACTCACCGAGGCAGGGACCACAGCAGACTTGCTCACTGTAGTGCCACTTGTCCACACTGTTCTAGTACACAGCACATTTCTGAAAACCATTGTATATGTCTCACTCTTCTTTCTTTCCCATCTTCAAGTTGTAATCCTCGAGTCTATCTCGTGACCTCCATCTCTGCTGAAAACACCCTTCTGTAAGCTAACATTAACTCACACGTCCCCCTTTACCTCTCAGCTCCGTGCACCCCCTGTAGTGTGGGCTGCCATAGCCCTGTGTGTCTTCAGGCCCTGCTGTTATGATTTTATACTTAACACCTGTCTTCCCCACTACACCGTAAGCTCCGTAAGGGAAAGACTCTGATGCCCTTGTCCTCACCTTTGTATCTTTTGGGCCAAGAGCATCAAGGGCATTCAGATAATGCTGTAGCTATGGCTGGTGCCACCTAATGGTGGCAAAAGAAATTGATACGTAATCCAGTTCTGTATCATTGAAGTGCGGTACAGTGCAGAGCACTAGACATCTGTTAGAAGTTAAAGGAACAAACTTAACATTCTTTCCCTAAAATTATCCAGTAATTAGCGTTGCTGTTTTTGTCTTTGAAGAATATTATCCAAAGGATGATATATTTCTGGTTGTGTTTAAGGTCCTTTCTTGGCTGATTTATACATACATATATGTTTCCTTTTTTAGCATATGACTTAGAAGAACAGAAGAATCTCACAGTTTGTACTGATGGAAAACTGAATGAACAGAAGGGCCCAGTTTACGTTGCATGTCCGTTTCCTCGTGCCTTACTTGAAGCATGCAGTGGTGTGGATGACCCCGACTTCGGCTACTCCAAAGGAAGCCCTTGTATTCTTGTGAAAATGAACAGAGTATGTACATATTTTATTGCTGCTGCTGCTTTTTTCTAATCTCCTCTATTAAGAAGCTGGCAGCTATTTATTAAATGCTGTCTCACCTAGGGGTAGCTTGTGTAAAAGGCTAGCAGTGATACTGACCTTTGAAAAATTAATACAGAAAAAAAACAGTTGGTTCATAAATTAGTCATGGATTAGAGAGGAAAACAACTTTAGCTTTTTCCTTTTGGAACTAGCCATGTGCACTTAAGCATGGATCAGTGCTTCAGGGGTCTGGTGTTCTGGTGGTCACGCCCACAGCGTCGTTGTATTAATGGGCAGTGCTCATCTTTGCATCCTGTGTGGTAATTTAAAATCCCACGGCAAATCCATAAAGTTTTGTCTTGCTTAACCTTCTCTGGATTAGTAGCAAAGCATATTTTTATAGTATATGTCTATGTAATTAAATAGTAAAAAACAAGTGGAATTGTGTTAAAATGAGCTCAGCAGTGTTTTACTGTATGGTCTAGAGGAGGTGCCTGAACTGTATCACCATTAGCACATCAAGAAGCTAATGTTCTCTGCGTCTAAGTAGTAATGTCTTGGGGTCATTGTGCAAGGGAAGGTGCTTCCCTTGTGTCATGAAGTGTCCCCAACCCTGCCCCTTGCTGCTCTGTAAATGTATTGCAGAGTTGTATTCTTGTACAGTTAACCTGTTGAGGCCTGCAAGGTCTGCCTTGAAGAGGGAGGTCATTCCTGGTCATTTACTCAGAGAAAAGGCAGTTTCCTAAACAGACTCCATCCTCTCCTCCCCCACCCCCCACCATTAGGTTCTGATTATGCCATAGCACTCTAGGGGATCATTCTGAAACATTGCCTGATACATAGTGCCCAATAAATGATGAGTGGGATGTTGTAGTAAGAGCAAGAATTAAGGTTAACAAAGTGGAGATGGAGCTGAAGACTAGGTAGACAGGGAAGTAGGAGCAAGTGAACAGCTGTTTCAAGGAGATGCCTATTCTTTCCCCAGAAATGCTGTGGAAGCTTCTATAATAAATAGAAATGGGTTTTCATAATCCACACGAGATGGTCCTCGTAGTCATATACAGTTATCTCTCGGTATCTGTGGGGGATTGGTTCCAGGACCACTAAGGATAGCAAAATCTGGGGGTGTTCAAGGCCCCTATATAAAATGGTGTAGTATTTGCATATAACCTACACACATCCTCCCATACACTTAAAATCATCTCTAGACTACTTATAATACCTAATTCAATATAGCAAATTCAAGTTTTGCTTCTTTAGAACTTCTGGAATTTTTTCCCCTGAATGTTTTTGATCCAGTGTTGGTAGACTTCACAGATGTGGAACCTGTAAATAGGGAGGGCCAACTGTACTGTGGAACTAGGTGATCCAGCTTGTTAAGATGATTAAATGTATTCTTTTTAACAGGATTAAATCCATGTAATACTCCTGGGAGTATCTTCACAACACCTAGATTGATAGAAAAATCTATTTCCAGTGTGAAGGCAAGAGAAGTTCCAGTGCCTTCTCCCTTAGGACCAGTCCTCTGTTTATATTCTTTGTCAGTATGTCCTTTAAATGTTGAGGGTCTGAGATTATTGTTGCTGATAAGGACAGACCTTTATAGGTGTGGCAGGAAGACATCAGGCACAGGGAAATCAGTGATGAGATGTTACCCACATTTGTAGGCAGGGCATTTAGTCCCGGTAGAGCTTGTTCCAAAGTCATTACAAGGGCAGGGATAGTTACTGCTCCTGAAGTTATTATTTAGGTTGCAACAGTATTTGTCTTTTGGGAGGAGTATTTATATTTTACAGGCATTCACATGTAAGATGCACGTAAGATCAAAATGCTAGAAGGTCCTCTCACAAAATAAATAAATATGTTATCATTCATACAGAGTTAGTTATGTCGTTAGTTATATCAACTGCTTACACACTAAGTAGCCTCATTACATAGAACTGAATGACGCTGAGAGTCTTAAAATGGGATTCTTCCAATGTATGCGTTTTGTAGAACAGATAGATTTGAAATATGGTGGGGCTCTGTGGAAGCCTTATGGAAACATGTGGTAGGGTTGTGACCAACTATATTTTCATGAAGACCAGTTAAACATTAAACTACCTCTGCAGTTCTTATTTTCATTAATGATTTGTTCATATATACAATGAAATTTAAAAGTTTCTGTTTGTTTTCTGTTTTAAGGGTAGCAAAGTGCAATACTCTGTTTTGGTCAATTCTTGGGTAACTGATTTATTTTCTAAATTGCCCCAGTTTATAATAAGATGGCTAATTGGTAGAGATTATTGTCTTGAAAAGCCCATTCTAATCCTCTAAAATAAAATTAAGTGGCAGATATAATGGGGTTTTAATACAGTGTTAGTAGTCATCTCAGCCCTTCCATCCCTGGTCCCCAGCAATAAAGGAAGAGGTTCTATGTATACATTTGTGATGTTTCAATTAATCAATTTTTCTTTACCATAGATAATTGGATTAAAGCCTCAAGGAGAACCAAGGATAGAATGTATTTTGAAGGTTAGTATTCAGAAAATAATCCAATTTCTGTTAAAGCTTTGGTGTGTCTTAAGAGTTCTTTAAAAGTCCAACGAGATTAGTCATCTTTTTTCCTTCCCTGTCACATTTCCCAAGTCCATTGTATTGCCATTCTTACAAGACAAGAACTCCACCAACCTTACCAGCCTGGGGGGTAGTAGCCCCTCTCTGTTTGCTATTGATAATTCAAAAAGACTTGTTTTCCATGTGCATTTGATTTCATATATTTGGCCTTTGTATTTAGATATACCATGTTTCATTGATTCTGAGATTCACTTTTTTTTTTTCTGGCTTAGTAACACTGAAATTGGGGTTGGCCTTATAATTCATAGTGTCTTAATGGTGTATAAGAGTTTTTCTTTCTTAATAGTACATAGATCAGTTATATCCATGGCATCTGAGATTTAATGAAACATGATACGTTTTCCTTAGAGTAGAGGCATTATTTTGGTCTCCTATCCTTACTTTATTTTTTCCAGAGTGCTGTGCAGTTTTCATTTCATAATTTCTTTTGTTTTCTCTCCATGCTGCAAAGTGCAACTAAGACAGATATGTAAATGATGGGTAAGAGTTCTTAGGAGAGACTGTTAAATTGTACATTCCTAATTTTATTGTTGTGTGAAATACTAGCATTCTAACTCAGTTATATGTTAGAAATATCTTACTTGAAATGTTATGTTGAAATCACTTCTAAAGTTGTCTGTGAAAAAAAAAACCCAGCTGTAATTCCTTTTAACTGTGAATGGATTTCTCACTTAGCCAGGATCTTCTTGCTGGGTGGTTCTCGAATCTGGTCATGCGTCAGAATCACTTGGAGGGCTTATTGGGTCCCAGTCCCGCAGTTTCTGACTCAGTAGGTCTGGTGTGAGGCCCCGAAACTTGCATTTCTCACTGAAGTTTCTGCTGATGCTGCGGGTCTGGGACCCACACTTTTGAGAACTCCCACTTCAGAGTATCCTTATTCATTTATGTGGAGTATTTATTCACTGTTTAGTGTAGAATAAAAAGCCAGGAAGTTTGTGGTTCTCATCTGAGTCGAAGTATGCATGTAGGATCATAGACAATTCACTTTATCTCCTTATGCCATAGTTAGCTCAGCAGGAAACTTGGATAAAAAAACAGAATCTCACTTAAAACCAGATGCTATGTCTAAGGCGAGTTTTTCTTGGTATACAAATCCTTCTAAAAATCTAGTGAGCATCTAGTGTTACTTTTTTAAGACAGAAGAAAACATTACGGTCACAAGACAGATTTAGAAAAGTATAACGCTGAGATCCCCCTTGCTTGCAAGTCTTTCCAGTAGAAAGTTCCTGAGACTGGACACAAGGCTTCAGCCAGGTGGAAGTGGTGGTTTTATGCCAGTATCCTGTGTGCAGGAGATTTTGCCTCTGCATGTGAGCAGACCCCTGAGATACTCTTGAAACAGTGGGTCTATGGAGCCAACACCACCAAGAAAGGAAACATACACACATGAATTTTGCAGAAGGGCAAAAGCTTTCTTCTCCTAAGGTTTCCATTCTGTAAGCCTTTGGCGGGTATAAACAACTCCATGTAACTCTTCCCTTGAGATTTCAGATGGATTTTTCTCCTTGTTTATCCATTATGTATCCTTTACTTCTAGAATAGTTGGGGGAAATGCTAATGAAATTTCTGGACTTGGATTTCGGTTTCTGTCCCTTTTGTTGTGAAGAGTTATGTGGAAAGTACAGAAAATGACCAAAATAGATGGGGGTTTTGTTTTATTTAGTTGTGGAATATTTTTGTTTTTAGAAAAACGTGAAATTGGAAGAAATGTTCGTAAAACATTTCATTTTACTCCCAGGCTAGTCGCAAAGGAGTAATCAGATGGGATCTATAAAAGTTTAGAGACGCGGCTCTGAACAGACGGAAACGTGTTGTGTGTCTTTACCATGCTGTTTTCCATTAGGTTTGCCTATATCAGGTGTTCTTTACTGTAAATTCTTTAGTTGAATTACTTTTTATGTAATGCATTTGTCTTTTATTTTGTCTTGCATCCTTAACTTTGATCTGCTTTAATTGCTTTTATACAAGTTAAGAGTCCTGGAAACATTAGAACGTTGATGACAGAGCATGCTCTTAAAGGTGGCCTTTAATTTTAAAGAATGGTTCTTGCAAAAGATGTAACACTCATATGTATGAATTTTTTCCAGTATTTTATCTTCTTAAAAAATAAACTTTATTTAAGAAAAATTAGAAAAATGCAGAAGGAAAATTATAGGTCAATACTACCCAGAGATTACCACTGCTTAGAACATTTGGTTTATATTTTTCAAGTCATTTACAGGTGATGACTATATAAAAGAAACAAAATACATTAAATTTAAAACTTTATTTTGTTTTCAGTGGAACTTAGTGAGTGCTAATAGGCTCTGGACTTAGTTCATAGTTTCCAATATCATCATTTGTGTTGTGTAGAAAACTGTGATGTGTAGTTTTGCCCTAAAATATCTCATCATTTTCAGATATGCATTTTATTGTTTTGCAATTTCCAAATGTTTATTTTCACAGAAGGTATAAAACACAAGTTTAAGTAAAAGCCTGCCCACGTTATGGTCTAGGTACAAGCCGAGAGAGCCTTTAATTGAGCGTGTGACCTTAACTCGGAGCCTCCATTCCCCTCGCTGTGGTTGATCGCATGCACTTAAGGGTTGTTTGGCCCAAATGAGTAGATATCAGTTGAGTGTGGTATCTGCTGAAGTACACCCTGAAGTGCTCTGAACTGTAGCCCAGAGAAGACCAGTTAAGGGTAACGTCTCTGTGTTGCTGTGAACTGAGCTCAATATATTAAGGGAAAGTAGGTTACACAAAAGTAATTAATGTAAAAAAGCACTTACATGTAAGTGATTATTGTTTTCTCTCCTAAGTGAATGCTATTTTAGACTTACAACTTTTTAAAATTAAGGAGTACAAACATAGGGTGATGTCCGAATAGTGATTGACAGTGGCTCCTGCAGTTTGTCTTTGCCTTGCTGTCTCCTGTTCTTTTCTCATGTCTGTGACCTGGACTGTTGGGATGTGCCCTCTTTGTGGGTGTCATCACTCTGTGCTGTCTTTCCTGACTCACTTGTCCACGTGCTCCTTCATGAGAGCTAAGTGAAGTAAGCGGAGAGTAGGGCTTCCCTTACAGGAGAGTCTTAGTTTTGCTATAGTGTTTATGTTTGCTTTCAAAAACAGACATTAGTTTATTCAAAACTGGAGTTCAAGCATTTAGTAATGTTTTGTTTTAAATTAGTGTTAGTAAAGTTGCCACTGATTTTAATTATTGTTCCTCTGTTACCTACTCAGTGTGTGTTAAACTTAGTCATTAATATTAGGCCTATTGAGAATGTGTTACATGAGAGTTTGCATAAATTGTTTACATTTCAAGAATACTAGATTTGTATATGTTTCATCACGCTTATCAGTTTTTTGGAGATGTAGTTGATACAGTATTGCATATAAGTTACAGGTGTACATCAGTGATTCATTATTTTTAAAGATTATACTCTATAGTTATTGTAAAATATTGGCTATAATTTCTGTGCTGTACAATATATTCTTTTAGCCTTCTTATTTTATACATGGTAGTTTGTACCTTTTAACCCCCTTGTCCTCCCCTTCCCTCTCCCCACAGGTAACCACTAGTTCATTTCCTATATCTGAGAGTCTGTTTCTTTGGTTACATCAGTTTTTTAAGTACGTGGAATGTAACTGCAGTAGTCATATAATACTTTTAATTGCTTTACGTATGGCCATAGAATACTTCAAGGGAAATGTGTTATTTAAATTGGTTAAGAAGGATATTTCTTCGAATACTTTAAATTTTCCCTAACAGTTTTTGTTAGCTGTATCATAATTTCTCCTTCTGGTTACAGTTATCATGGTTGTTAATCAAGTGAAACTTTTGGTCCTGCTGCCTCCCAGGCCCGAGTGGTACATTCTAGGTTGGGGAGGCTATTCCTTTCCAGTCTGGAAGCACAATATTTCATTCATTTTAGGGATACGTTGGTCCCTAACCTACTGGTGCATTCCTGCTGTCAGGCTGGAGAACTGGCATTTGGTAGTTGGAAGGCAGATAAGATTTTACAGACAGTACATGAGTAGATCTAGCTGTAAGTTAAAAGGGATTGTCAAGGAAAAGTGTATAGGATATATCAGGAAATCAGCATAGCTTGTGTCAAAGGGTTTAAATTACCATGAGTAAGTCTTTTCAAAAATACACTTGTAATTATTGCATTTGGAGCAACATTGTAGTTTCTCCATACTGTCCATAATTGATACTGCTTTAATAAAAATGCTTTTTAAAAAACTTTTCTGTGACCTAAATAAGATTTCTTTTGCTTTCAACTTCAGAGTGAAAAAACAACAGTTCTAGCCACTTACCCTCCCAATGGAAACATAGACTTAAAATATTTTCCGTATTATGGAAAGAAACTGCATGTAAGTATTTAGAAGTTCTTAAGTGGTTGTGACTCTTGGGAAATTGGCACATCTGTATTAAAATGTCAGTTGTCTGGGTTAGGTAGACGTGTGTAACTTGTGCATCATCTCTTCTGGTTTTTAAGTACAAATGGTGATGGCAAACGGAGACTCCAGATCTACAGCTGAAAACACAAAACTCAAGTAGATTTTAAAGGACGATTATTTTCAAAATAGTATTTTCTCTTTCATTACTAAAGAGTGTGCTTATTTGAAGAATATTGACACCAGAAATTGACACATTGTAATTTACTATACTTCAATTTAAAAAAATTTTAAAAACTTAAAGAATATAGGGAAGTAGTAAAGAAATAAAAAAGCTCAATACCCAGAGACAACTGTATTGTAGTGTAATTTCTTCCATATTTTTTCTTCAAGAATATGTATGTAAATAGTATTTTATATACATACTTGTAAAACTTTTTATTTTGAAATTATTTGAAACTTAAAGTGGCTAGAATAGTACAAAGAATTCCTACAGACCCTTTGCCTGGATTTCCCAGTGTTACTATTTTACTTCATTTGTCTTGCCAGTCTCCATTTACATGCAATCCCTGAACCATTGGCACTAAGTTATAAACATGATACCTCTTTATACTAAATACATTAAATGCTCTTAACATTAAATTTCCTAAAAATAAGGACTTTATCGTATATAATCATACAGTTATCAAAGGAAATTAACATTGATAACTCTATTGTAATTATCCAATCTACAGCCCTTGTTGAAATTTCACCAGTTCTAGTAATGTCCTTTATTGCAAACGAAAAAGTGTTTTTCTGATCCAGGTGTTACACTGTTGCATCTTTAGTCACCTATAGCCTGAAACATCTCAGCCTGTCTGTTTCAGGCCCTTGTACTCTTCAGAGATGAGTATGGGCCCTTTTGGGGGCTCATTTTGTTGTTTTATATTCTTCAATTTGAGTTTATCTGATGTTTTTCATGAATAAGTGTAGGTTGTACATTTTTGGCAAAAATGCCTCAGAAGAAATGTTAAATTCTTTTCAGAATAGCGTATCAGGAGAGATGTGTTGAGTGGTCCCATTAATGGTGATGTTAACCTCGAACACTTGGTTGTGGTGGTGTCAGCCAGGTTTCTCCACTGTACGGTTTTTCTTTTTCTTTTTTTCCTTTGTAATCAATAAGTATCATATTGGGAGAATAGTTTGAGAGTCTATAAAATTGTTTCTCCTATAGCTTTAGCATTTGTTGATTCTTTCCTGAATTAGTTCCAATAGAATTGTTCCCAAATGTTTTTTTCTGACTCTGTCTTTCCTTTTTCCATTTACTACTTGGCATTCCTCTATAAGGAAGCACTTTTCCTTCTCCACCATTTATTTATATGAGTATATTCTCATGGATTTTTATTTAATTCAGGGGTTATAATAATTTATTTTGGTGCTCAAATTGTCCCTGATTTGGCTGGTGGGAGACCTTCAGGCTGGCTCTGGTTCCTGTGTCCTTTTGACATGCTCCTGTGCTTTTTATAGCATTTCTTTACTTTCTGGCACGACAATGTTCCAGGTTCATTCCCTGCCTCAAGCCCTGGAATCAGCCCCTAGTTCCTTTTAGTGAAGAATTGTGTTTAGAAACCACAGTGATGACAAAACAATTATGAGTTTATTTGTACCAAGTTACACAGCAACCATTAGTAAGGATATGAGAGACCTAAGAAGGAACATAACCAGTAAGGTAGATCTTCTGCATGTTCATCAAACATACTAATAGATAGATAATACGATATATATCCTTGGCAAGCAGACCTGGAATGGTCACAAAAGTTTATTAAAAAATGCATCCTAAAGTTTCATAAAATAGAAATATGTTACAGTACATTCTGATCACAATGCAGTAAAACTAGAAATTATTAAATGGGCCCTTCCATAAAAGGAGGAGGTGGAAATTTTCTATTGTAAACAACTCTTGGGTTAAGGGAAAAACTCAAACCAAGATTATAGAATATCTAAAAAATAATAATGAAACACAACATAATCACGGAATACATTTAAAGCAGTGCCAAGAGGAAAATTCAGTCATAAACACTTTCATCAATAAAAATTAAAGTGAAAATTAATATCCAGCTAAGGGAAAAAAGGTTGAGGATAGAAAATAATAGATCTAGTTAATAAATTAAAATCTTGTTTTTAATTTTACCAAAAAACCCAACTCCTTGATAAAATGTAGATAAAGTTACTGTAGAATTTGAATTAATGTATTTTCCTTTATCTGCCAGGTGAACTATCTACAGCCACTAGTTGCTGTCCAGGTCACCTTTGAAACTAACAATGCCATAAATGAAGCCACAGTTGAGTGCAAGATTGATGGATCACCCAACCTAAAAAACCAGGATGATCGCGACAAGTTTTTAGGACGAGTTGCATTCAAAATCACCGCACGTCCATAGTAGGAATTACAGTATCTCCACAGAGTAAATGTTGTGTTGTCTGTCTTCATTTTGTATCAGCTGGACCTGTCATTCCAGAATTATGAGACCACCTTGGAGAAAGGTGGAGTGGTACATGACACTGGGGTAACATCACAACGTGCTTCCAGATCATAGTGTTCAGTGTCGTCCGAAGTAACTGCCTGTTGCCTCTGCTGCCTTTTGAACCATGTTGAACCCTGTACAGTCACTAGATGGGGACTGTGAGCACCTGGTTCTGAACATGGAGGATGGGGAGGTCTTGTCCAGTTTTTATGTGGTTTAATTGCCAAGTGTCTAAAGCTTAATGTGCTGTGCTATGTAAATATTTTATAGATTTAACACTGGTTAACTGTCATACTTTGATGCCAGCAAAGTTTTAGGGGATAAAATGATACCTGGCCAACATCTAATGACTTTATAGCCGCAAGAAATGTGGTGTGTGAAGAAATTCTGTAGAAGGAAAATAAAAATGGATTTGAAAGGTTGTCTTGGGTTTTTTGTAAAATTATTTTTTACATACTGAATCAGCCTGTGGGTCTTTTTGACTAAGAGTATAA